AACTGACCAATAAAATGGGGAAGCATCACTATCTTTTCTTCATGAGACTCAGGGTCTGAGTTTATAAATTTCTGCATTGCTTCTCCTAGTCTATTCCTAAGAGCTGTAGGGTTCTTTTATGTTATTTTTACAAACCTAAAATTTAAGGACATCACTCAAATATTTCTTAATCCCTTTATGAGATCTCTAACTTCTCCTGTTATCTCTAGCTTTTCTACTGATTGATAGTTCCAAAGTAGGAGTCTGCCTGAGCTCTCTTTGCTACATGTGGGTTAGTAGTGTGCAAATTACTGGCCTGGTGTCTACCAGCTCTAATAGTTCTGTGCTTCCTATCAGAAAAACAGCAGAAAGAGAACAGAACTCTTAAATCTTTTCATAAAAAGATAGTAGTAGTATTCAAAAAACTCTTCAACAAATTTCTCAAAGTTCTGGGGAAAAGTTTCTAGTTTGTCTTTAAAATCTTTTAAAATCTCCCATGGACACGTGGAACATGGACTCTCATGGTGTTTTCTCAAAACCATTTATGCCTGAATGTAAGGTATCTGATCCTATTTGCCCTGTCTCAGGCAAAATAAAACAAGCTGCTTTATAGTGTTGCAATTTAGGGAACTATTGATTGGCTAAACTTCTGAATCATTTCCTCAGAGTGTTTAATTTCAAGCTGTGAACTTTTTCATTTTTGTGCAGACAATCTTAGCTAATGCTGAAGGTCGTCCTATAACCATTCTGGAAAACAAAGGATTCATAGAAGGACCTGGGGACTTGAGTCCTTACATCTCAGTGGCTGTCCTCTCCTGTGGACCTCTGCCCACCCGTGCCTGTTCCTGGAGGCGTCCCTCCACCGCAGTGAACACAGCACTCCTGGTCAGGAAAGGCCACTTAGTTTCCTGCCTCACAAAGTCCAACATATTCTGGATTTCACAGGCAGTCAATTAATGGCACCCAACTTTTGTGACATATCCTCCTATAATCCTTGTTCCTTGCACCTACTCTGGGTACTAAGTTGCTTTTTTTCTGTCTTATCTGCTCCCAAATTCCTAGGTCACATTATTTATGCAGCTGTTAAAGACTGGCTTGAATGTTTAACTCTGGCATTCTGGACTACCAGAGGTAAACAGACTAGCCAGCCTTATGACTGCCAAATACAGTCTATTTCAATTTATTTTTTTTTTTACCAATTTAGAAATTTCATATTTTAGAAACTCTTTAACTGTAGCTTCTAATTAATTGAAGTATTTGTCTTTACTCTCCTACAATGCCTGTTGGGCGTGAGCTTATTTCTTGCTCTCTTCATCTTCCAAATTAACAGCTTAATTTTTTTTTAATTAGCTTTATCCTTTTATCTGTTGCTTCCTTTATCCTACTGAAATTGCAGAGTTCATGAGCCCAAAACTATTGTTGCATTAAATTTAAGATGAAAAAGAGAATATTTTAAACTTGGAAGTTTTCTTTGCTCTGCACTCAGTCTGAAAATTCAGGACCGGTGGAAAGTTCCCTGAGAGAAAGGAGAACAAACAAACAAAAAACTTTCTGAGCTTGTCTCCCTTAAAAAGAAAACCAACAAAGGCACATGTTGGCTTCTGCTTTAAACATCTTTGCTTTCCTCTATCCTTTCTGCCTATTGCAGTTCCCTACACAACCAATAGTGGCTGCTGCTTCAGGAAGGGCCTGGAGTAAGCCTGCAAAGGGAGTGAGTACTAAAACATGATTTTTCTTTTTCAATCTCCCTCCTTTTTTCCTTTTCCTCTTATTGCCTGCCTGTCTGTGCAAGATTTGGGTGAGATCAGAGAGTGAGGAGTTAGCAGTCCTAACTGGCTACTAAAATCTATAGCTCAACTCCAAACTGACCAATTATCAACAGGGAAAAGGGAAAAAACCCAACAAAACCCTGTGGAGAAACCTCGATATCATTGCACCACAAATCTGCGCCAGGTAGAGAAGAAACACTAACTAGCCACCCACAAACTTGACCCACATTAACTAACATTATTAACAAAATTAAAGGTTTACTTACTATCACGCTGTATGCTTCATGCAGGAAATACAGAAGAATGTAAAAATAAACAGAGGTAGAGCTGATTGCTTTGGCAAGAAAGGAGGAGGATTAAGTCTTTCAAACTAAAGAAGTAAAAGAAGCAGATTTTTAAGATCATGCCTCTTTGAACCCCAAGGTGTGCTAGTTGGGCTTGATGTGCTGCTTGGGTGACTCGTATCTCAGTTTTCAGTTCAGAGAATTGGGCACAGATGAAAGTTACAGATTCCTCCATCCCCAGACGTGCCTCCTATTTCCCTATGAGTCTTACCAGGAGTCGCCCTTGTGCCCCAGAATTCACAGCCACACAGAAGAATCGGACACCCTGATCGAGCCCAGAGGGAAGAATGTTAGGTGTCTGCTGCCACCTCAGGTGGAGAAGCCTCTCCGTGAAGACTAGAGCACTGGTATAATCCCCCAGTCGGCACACTCACTGATGGGACCCTTACAAGAGAGCTGGTGAGACGGTCTCCTTATGTCATAGGAGGCTGGGTACCCGATCTCCCACTGAGACTTTGGCAGACACAGAATCCCATAATCAATCTATAGGGGAAATAGGGTTCAAAGGGCCAGGCTTTAGAAACATAGAAGCACAAAAACTCACCAGTAGAAGAATCCTCAGTGATCAGGAGTCCTCAGAAATTCTATCCCGGATGATGAGCCCCCAAAATGTCAAGGGGATGATTTCCAAAAGAGGTCCAAGGGCCACTTTGAGTAAGGACTAGAAAGTTCTGACTTGGAAATAAAAGAAACACCAAACCAAGTGAGAGCAAGAGAAATAGATGGAGGTTTATTAGACCTTCATAACAGACTATGAACGGGTCAGGACAGACTGACCGCATTATGTTTTATAAAATTAATCACAGTTGGACCTTGCCCATCATTACCCTTTCTTTTGAGGTCCCCACCACATCCTTCCCATTTCCTTTACCCCCTCCCTCCACCTACCAAATTGTGCAACCCTGTGGCCCTACCCATCCTCACCCCTCTGCTCCCATCCCTTCCCCCTCTAGGTCCCCATACAGGTTTTACTAGTTATCATTCTAATTTTACAATGGTCTTATGCAGTATTTTTCCTTATGAGACTGAGTTAGTTCACTCAGCATAATGCTCTCCAGTCTCTCTCAAGTTATGTAGTATTTTTTAAATCTTTGCTCCTGAGGCATTATGCTTTTTAATCAAACAGCCAAGCACAATCAATAAGAGTGCATCTAAATTCCAAAATCAATCTCGATAATAGTCTATGTGTTTCCTACTGCCAAAGGGACCCTTTAGAGTAGTGAGAGAAGATCTTCACCCTGAAACCCACAGCGTCCCTTTTCAGCAGGAAGTAGCTAAGAGAATACGCCATCCCCTTTTCCTTATGACTCAGGGTGAAGTCTCTCTCAGGGAGGAGTGATAGGGAATGGCAAAGGACACACTGACAAAGAAGATTAATCAGAACTGGCTTTGACAAGCACTGTGGCATTTGGACAAGAACAAACTGGGAGGAGGGTAGAGAGAATAGTGCAACAATGAATGAGTGGAAGCCCAAAATCTCTGTAAATGTTTATGAAAATTAATAAAATATAATTATAGAAAAAAAAATCCAGTCTTCATGGGGTCAGATTTGACAACTAGAAAGACTAGATAAGAACTTCAGGGTCAGTGAGCTGATGATAATAAGGAAGGAAAAAAGGTTGAGAATGAATGCACAACCCAGAGGACGTCATCAGGGTTGCTAAATTGTACCTGCATACACTGTTGGATTGGTGTATGCCGTGCTGTTTATAGGGAGCTCCAGTGGTATAGTCTGTAAGCCCTTGTGCTGCGAAGCCTGAGGCGGTGGCTCTCTGGCGGTTCAAACCCACCAGCAGCACTGCCACAGAAAGATGGAAAGTCTCCTTCTGTGTAATCTGCAGCCTTGAAAGCCCATGCAAGGTCAGCTAGCAGTCGGTTCTGACCCAATAGCAATGAGGTGAAGGTTTACTGTATGTAATCTCAGCAAGTAAATAAAGTTTGTTGTTGTTGTGTACTGTAGATCCAAACCAACTCATAGCTGACCCTCTGACAGGTTTTCAGAGTCAGTTAATCTCATGGGAGGAGATTGCCCATCCTTCTCCTGTGGAGCAGCTGGTGGACTCAAACCAGGGGCCTTTGGGATTGCGGTGCATCTTCTTGCCACCAGACCACCAGAGCTCCCTAAATAAAGTTTGTTGTTGTTAAGTGCCGTCAAGTCGTAGGCGACTCATAGAGACCCTATGAAGGAAAGTCCTCGACACTTGTGTGACTTTCATCTTTTCTCCAGGTTCATAGAGTTTCCAGAGGCAAGCTGTTATGGAAGTGGACACCACTCCTGTTTCCAAGCTTGTTTTAATTGGGGCGCTCCACCGAACGCTGTCCGCCACGAGTAACCATTAACGCATTTGACACATCAATTGAGAAGAAAAAAATATATATAATAGCATTTGTCAGTGTACAATTCAGAGACAGCAAGTATATTCATCATGTGGTCACCCCAAACTCAAATTAACTCATTGCCATTGAGATAGAAGTGACTCAAAGCTGCCCCTTCAGTAGGTTTTCTGGGGCTGTACTTAAAAGGGAGGAGATTGCTCATCTTTCTCCTCCGGAGGCCCTGGTGGATTCTAACAGGGAGCTGCCCCCTTTGGGTTAACAGCACAGCTCCCTATGAACCAGGCCACCAGAGCTCCCTGTTTTCACCCAAAGTCACAGTCCAGCTTCCCATCACCACTTGCTTGCTAAGGTATGTTGAGAACTTTATAAGGTTCAAGGTTAGCAATGGCTTTCTTCTTCTCTTTCCAGCCACATACACCTCGCCTCCATAAGGAAAAAGGGATTCAGGAACCAGTTGCACTCACCGTGTGGGATCACAGATTCTTTCCTTCCGTCCTCGCTCCGGAGTTCCCACCCAGCCCATGGTGCCCACCTTTGAGATAAGCGTGCTTTCTTTGGCTGTGGCCCCAGCATGTCACCCTTAACCAAACCCCAAGCCGTGGAGGAGGTCCTTCCTGGCCCCGAGGAGAAGCCGAAAGGAAAGCCGCTGCACCCCTGGGGCTCTCTGTTTGGCCACCGCAGTGAGAAAATCGCCTTCACGCAGAGTGACAGCGTCCCCGAGGAGAACCTGCTCACCATCACCATCACTGAGACCACTGTCATTGAGTCGGACCTGGGCGTCTGGAGTTCCCGGGCCCTCCTCTACCTCACCCTGTGGTTCTTCTTCAGCTTCTGCACCCTCTTCCTCAACAAGTACATCCTGTCCCTGCTAGAGGGGGAGCCCAGCATGCTAGGTGGGTGCCAGCTAAGCGGCTATTCATTAATGGAAACTCCAAACTCAAAGTTCTTGTCCTTGAGCCAAAACTCATAGCTGATCCTCCAGCCAGCTTTCAGAAGCAATCAGTCACACAAGGGGAGATCACACAGCTTCCCCTAGCAGAGCTGCTGATGGATGCGAAGTGCCGGAGGGGTGTAGCCTCAGGGATAGCGCACAACTCTCCAGGGACCAGGCCACCAGATCCCCTGTTAGGAGTGGTTATTGTTTGTCATGTACCATCAGATTAGCTGACCCTCTGCTGGGTTTTCAGAGACAAGAAATCACACAGGAAGAGATTGGTCATCTTTCTCCCAAGGAGCAGTTGGTAGATTCGAACCATATGACTTCAGGTTGGCAGCACAGCTCCTTATCACTAGACCACCAGAGCTCCCTGTTAGGTGTGGGTTTGACCCCACCCAGTTTATGACCACAACAGAAGGAAGCACTTCTGTGGTCCCACACCATCTCCATGATTGGCTGTGGGCTGGACCCCTTGCATTGGTAGGCTTCTCATGATCTCATTGGCTGATCTTCAGCAGTAGATCACCAGCCTTTCTTCCTGTCCTTCTTAATCGGGAAGCTCTGCTGAACCTATGTGGCACCTTATAATACATGAGCCTTCACTGACCCACAGGTAGCATCTGAGAAAGAGGCACGTTGGCCAGGAGTCCAAGGCAAGAATCCCACTGAGCCACCAACGTGCCCCATATGTTGCCAGTAATGGCAAGAGCAGATCCATGGAGGGGAGGGGAGGAGGGTCAGTGAGCTTTATGAGGAGAAGCTGCAGGGGCCACATTGAACCAGAATGAACTCAGTGCTCCATCTCCCTGAACACCCTGCCCTAGCCTGGCACCCCCTTTCTGTCCAGGAGAGTAAGGAAACCCCCCAGCCTGGGCCTCCTCTCCCCTCCTGTCCAGGTGCTGTGCAAATGCTGTCCACCACACTCATCGGCTGCGTCAAGATTTTCATCCCTTGCTGTTTGTATCAGCACAAAACCCGCCTCTCCTACCCGCCCAACTTCATCATGACCATGCTGTTTGTGGGGCTCATGAGGTAAGGGACTCCACGATTTGGTTTCTGTGTCTGAGAGTTTAGTAACAATATCTTTCCCCAGTCACTTTGCTCTGAGAGTAAGTTCTGCAAACTGAGGCTGCAGGTGGTGAAAGCTGCAGGGCTGTGGCTTCCTGGGAATGCACCTCTGAGTGGACTTAGGGCTACATGCACAGATTCTCTCTAGAACAGCTGTGATGACTGAACTTGATAGTGGGTTGAGGGCTAAGATTCTCCTCCCTGATGATGTCTCTGAGCCCTTCCAGGAGGGCTCCCTCAGAAATGTCAGAGAAAGGGGCCTGAGCCTGTGGGTGCTCAGGGCAGGATGTGAGGGGGAGGAGCTGGGAGAGAGGCAAGAAGTGGGACATTGGGAAAGGGGTGGAATGAAGAGGAGGAAGAGGAATGAGGGGACAGGGTTAAGGAGGAGGCAAGGAGAGGAGAGGGGGCCAAAGAGAGTGAAGAGGAGGTTAAAGAGGGAAGGGGGGCAGACAGATGGGATGGAGGGGCTCCACCCCAGTCTTGTAGCTGGAAGGGGATTTGATCCTTTCCAAGGCTCTCTTTTGCTTGTTTCTAGGTTTGCAACTGTGGTTTTGGGGCTCGTCAGTCTGAAGAACGTGGCGGTGTCCTTTGCTGAGACAGTGAAGAGTTCAGCACCCATCTTCACTGTGATCATGTCCCGGATGATCCTGGGGGAGTACACGGGTGAGCAGCCAGCCCCCAGCACTGCTTGTCCTTACTTTCTGCTCCTTCGGGCTCCTGCTCTGCTGATGCCCCAGCCTCATTCATGTCCCCAGCGCTGTCAACCGTGCAAAGGACTATGAGCAGAGCCTGGAACCCTCGGCTTTGGTTCTCAGCTGCCCTGGGGCACCCACACTCACCCACAGCTCTCCCCTTGCCATTTGCTCTGAGCTCCAGGGTTCCTTGGGAATGTTTTATGAGGATTCATGAATTGATCCATTTGTGCTAGACTGTCCTGATACCTTTAAAATAGAAAATAGAAAAATAGGACAGAGCTGGCTGGAGAAATGAGCTTAATCTGTAGAAAGTGGTCAGTGCCCTCCACCCCACGGAGCCAGGCAAGAAAGAGTCAGCCTAGAAGACCCCTAATCACTTGTGGGCTCCACACTGTGCATTTCCTTCTTCCACAGAATGCCTGCTGGATTCATACCATTAACCTTTCAGTCAGCCGTCCAGCACGTAACACACTGTGCTGCCAGGGGTTCTTTATCTAAGTAAGGGAGAAGTTCATGGGAATGCATGAAGTTCTTTCCCATTAGCTACTGTAGTGGTGCAGAACAAGGGAACACTGCCGGGTTTAAATCTCGGGATTTAAAAGAAAAGGTGTATATCAGAGTTGTATCCTTTGTCCATACCTATTCAATCTGTTTACTATGGAAATAACTTTGAAAAGCTGGAGTCTATGAAGAAAAATGTAGCATCAAAATTGGAGGAAGTTGCAACAATGAATGAATGGAAATCCAGGTTCTCTATAAACTTTCATTAAAATCTCAATCAAACAAAACAAAAAAAGAAAGAACACATAAAAAACATTGAAGGAAGATCAATAGCATTATGCAAATATCACAACATTGCTTATACAAAGTGAAGAAGTCTTGAAGATCTAATTTTCAATACTAAAAAATTTAGTAATTTATTCTAAAATCATAGAAAAAAATCTAATTTAGGAGGCTGCAGAAGATCAAGACTGTATAGCCTTCAATATTGGTTACATCTCAACCTCAAGAAAACAAAAGTCCTCACCACTAAGGCCAATAGGCAACATCATGATAGATAGAGAAAAGATTAAAGTTGTCAGTGACTTAATTTTCCTCGGATTCACAAGCAGCACCCATGGATTCCAATCAAGGACTCAAAAGACAGCTTGCTTTGGGAAAACATGGTGTCAAGGAATTCTCCAAAGTGCTAAAGAGCAAGGCTGTCTATTTAAAGACTGAAGTGCACCTGATCCAAGCCATGGTATTTTAAATTATTTCATATGCATCTAAAAGTTGCACAGTGAGGAAGGATGATTGAAGAATTGATTCCTTTCAGTTGTGGTGTTAATGAAGGCTATTAAGTGTCCAATGGACAAAACAAAACAAACAACTCTGTCTTGAAGGCAATGCACCCGGGAGCTCCTCAGAGGCAAGGATGGTAAGACGTCCTCTAACAAACTTTGGGGATGTTTTCAGGAGGAACCAGTCCTTGGAGAGAGATTTCATGCTGAGAAAAGTAGAGGGTCAGTGAAAGAGGAAGACCTTCACCTTCACCGTGAGAGATTGACGCAGTGACTGCCCCAATGGGCTCAAACAAATGAGAGATGGTGAAGGTGGCTCAGGATAGGGCAGGTTCAGATCTGTGTCCCTAAGGTCACTATGAGTCATTGTGGACTCAACAGCATCCCTAACAACTTTTCATTTACATTGTTGTTCATTAACATTGAACTCACTGTATCTCCCACCTTAACAAACCTTCCCTAACGCATAGAGTTTCTCCATAAGGCCTGTCACAGCCTTCTTGTGCTTAGGGACATCAGGCAGCACTTCAGCAGCTCTCTCCTTGTGGCCATTTCTAGAGTGACAGCACCAACAAAAATGCAGAAATCTTGGCACTGAAACAGCCTGCAAGGAGGATTCTTTTTGCTGGGTGAGAACGGACACAGGAAGGCAAAGGGTCCTTGTCTACCCTCAGCAAAGAACGTACATGTTGGGGCCTCTTCTTCTTTGCTGCTCCCCTGTAAGAGGTGCTTGAGTATTGAATTTGGGGAAGAAAAGAAACTTCTTTTTAAAAAAATTTTATTTTATTATTGTGTGTGTGTCTGTGTGTGTGTGTGTACAGCCAAATCGGATCTGATTGGTATAGGAGGAGATTGTCCCTTCTTCTCCATCAGAGCATCTGATGGATTCGAACTGCATAGCTCTGGGATTACAGTGCAACTTTTTGCCACTAGGCCACCAGAGCTCCCTGAAAAGAAACTTTCTTGAGTAGGTGCCCTTCCGAGTATGGGTTCAGCAACCAATGAAAATCAAATATATTAGCTTTATTTTTTAAAAAGGATGAGATCTTAAAACTAAAGCAAATGGTTACCTAAGGTAGAGAGAAAGGTCAACAGGAGAAGAACCATGTAGCTAAACAGCTCACAGCCATGCTTTAGGGACCATGGAGCTGTTTTATGTGATTATAAAAATCAAGTAACAAACATCAAATGCTGGCGAGGTTGCAGAGAAACCCTTTTTCACTGTCGGTGGGAGTATAAAATGAAGCAAATACTATGGAAGGCTGTATGGCACTTTCTCAAAAAGTTGCAAATAGAAATACCATTTGACCCAGCAATTTCACTACTGGGAATTTACCCTAAAGAAACCATAACCACCACCCAAGCAGATATATGCATACCCATGTTTATTGCGGCTTTGTTCACAATAGCAAAGAGCTGGAAACAAAGTGCCCATCAACAAACGAATGGATAGAAAGGCTCTGGTATATTCACAAAATGGGATACTATGCAGCATTGAAAACCAAGGAACTAATGAAATATTATGCAAAATGGGTGACCCTGGAGGACATTATGCTAAGTGAAATATCTCAGTCACAAAAGGACAAATATTGCATAGGGCCACTGTTGTAAAACGGGACTGACATCTGGGTTGAGCGAAGACTGAGAAGGAGGCGATGAATGATGTATACTGCATTGAAGCAGGTGAGGGAGAGAACTGTTTAAAAGGGATATATGAGTAGGTATTATTGTCATGACAGGAGTCCAGAATGAAGGGTGCACAGTGGAGTGGACTTGGGGGGAGGAGAGAGTTTTCTTTTGGGGGGAGGGGGTGGGCAGGGAGAAAAATGCAACAATGAGTGAATGGAAATCCAAAGTCTCTGTAAACTTTCATTAAAATTAATTTTAAAAAATCAGGTAAAAACATAGAGTAATTCCTAAAAATTACAATCAAAATGGAACAAATGAACCATATTGCATGTAAGTTGATGGCGTAAAAAGCCAAGCCCATGGCCAGTGAATTGATTTCCACTTCTGACTACTTTCTGGGGCTGTAAATCTCTTCAGAAGACTCTGTCATCTTTCTTCTAAAGAAGAGCTAGGCCACCAAAATTGACTTCAAAACATCATAAGTAAAACAGACAAACAAATCATAAGTTGGACAATGACCAAGGAGGATAGAAGGAGAATTGATGCCTTTGAGCTGTGGTGCTGGAGAAGAGTATTGAGAATACCATGGACTGCTAGGAAAACAAACAGATTTGTCCTGGAAAGGGTTAGACCGGGTGGCTCCTTGGAGGCAAGGATTCTGAGGTTCCGTCTGACATACTTTGGACATGTTGTGAGGAGAGACCGGTCCTTAGAGAGAGACATCATGCTTGGGAGGGTGGAGGGACGGCGCAGGAGAAGAAGGCCCTCTATGAGGTGGATTGATTCAGTGACTGGGATAATTGGGATGGGAGTGTCAGAGACAGTGCGATTGGCACAGGACAGAGCAGAGTTTAGGGCTGTTGTACATAGGGTCACTCTGAGTCGCAAGTGACTTGACGGCACATAACAACAACAACAACAACCTGTGATGGACAAGCTTGTATGAAGCCAACCCTATTGCTCAGAACAATTAGAAAAATCTTGGTAAAATTTAGCAAAACAATAGTTTTTTGAGGCATTGGGGAATAATCAACTTAAGAAGACTAGAGAGACCAGACCTCAGAGGTCACCAGAGATGTGGCTCTGATTTATGGTGCCACACTTTCTTTTTTTTTTTAATTGAGCTTTTTAAAAAAAAATAATTTTAATGAACATTTACAGAGATTGTATTTCCATTCATTCATTGCTGCATTAATTGAGATTTTTAATGAAAGTTTATAAAGAACTTGGATTTCCATTCATTCATGGTTGCTCATTTTCCTCCTTGTCCCTCTCATTTCTCTTTTTCTTCGGGAAAAAAAAATATCTTTCATTGTTATATTGTTATACATTACCCCCCACCCCCAAACCACTTTACTATGCAGCTCTTATTCTGGACTCTTGTCATGCCAATAATACCTAATCATATATTCCTTTTATACAGTTCTCTGCCTTATCTGTTTCAATGCAGTATACATTATTTATCCCTTCTTTTCTTAGTTTCCTCCCAATCCTCATGTCAGTCATGTTTTATAACAGTGGTATTATGTAGTATTTGTCTTTTTGTGACTGAGATAGTTCCTCAGCATAATGTCCTCCAGGATCACCCATTTTGTATAATATTTAATGAGTTATTTTTCAATGCTGCATAATATTCCATTGTGTGAATATATCAACAGCTTCTCTATCCATTTGTTTATTAATGGGCACTTGGGTTGTTTCTAACACTTTGCTATTGTTAACAAAGCAGCTATAAACATGGGTGTGAATATATCTGCTTAGGTGGCAGTTCTGGTTTCTTTAGGGCATATTCCCAGTAGTGGAATTGCTGGTTCAAATGGTATTTCTATTTCCAACTTTTTATTTTAGTTTTTTAAATTTTATTATTTTTGTGTGTGTATTGACAAATCAAATCTGACTGGTACAGGAGGAGATTGTCCCTCCTTCTCCAGCAGAGCATCTAGTGGATTTGAACCATGCACCTCTTGGATTGCAATGCAACTTCACGCCACTAGACTACCAGAGCTCCTATTTCCAACTTTTTGAGGAAGATCCATACAGCCTTCCAGAGTGGTTGCACCATTTTCCACTCCCACCAGCCGTGAATAAGGGTTCCAGTTTCTCCGCAACCTCGCCAACATTTGTTGTTTGCTGCTCTGTTGAATTTTGCTATTCTTACTGGGGTGAGATGATATCTCATAATTGTTTTGATTTGCATCTCTCTTAGAGATAGGGATTTTGAACATTTCTTTATGTGTTTGTTCACCATCTGAATGTCTTCTTTGGTGAAGTGTCTGTTCATATCCTGTGCCCGTTTCGCAGTTGGGTTGTTGACCTTTATCTGGTGGCTCACTGCCACTCTTTCCTCAAGACCTTTGCTGGCTCTTGAGCAACTGCAAGAACTCTGAGCAGAACATTCTCATGGCGCTGTCAGGACTAGAGGAGTGTGAGACCCACCACGGAGGAGCTTCATCTGGGGTCTGAGTCTGTCCAATTTGATGCTGGTTGGGGTGTCTGCCCACAACCTGACTGCCTGGCCATGGCAAGACATCGCTGGAGGATAAAGCAGCACCCTCAACTTCCGGACCTCTCTGCAGTCTATAACGCCTATTGTCCACCATCAGACAAAAATATCCAGACAAGGCAAGATTGAGCAATAGAAAACTGAGAAGGCAGAGATTTTCCTTGAACAGTCCCAGATTTTCTTTCTTGAATCCAAGTTTGAACTGACATCTGGGTCCCTCCAGGCTTCTTAACTCCATCATTCCATCCTGCAGGGTGTCTGTGGGTTTTCTGCATTGACTCAACTCAAGATTTAGTGGTTAGAAGTTCTCTTCATTTGTTGCTTGCTAGGTGATTTGATCCATAAAAGACCAAAGTCAAAACCATCAATTCCCCCATAGCGACCTTACAGGCTGAAAATCTTTATGGAAGCCGATGGCCTCAGCTTCTACCCAAGGAGGGAATGGTGGGTTCAAACCCCCAAACTTTTCATTACCAGCCCGATGCTTAGCGTACAGTGCCACTGGGGCTCCTTTTTTGATTCATAAGCCAGAACTGAACTCACTTTTGTCCAGCTGATTCCAATTCCTGGTGACCCTCCTTCAGATTTCCATGGCTGTAAATCTTTCCTAGAGGAGACGCTTCATCTTGTTCCTGGGGAGGACCCTGACCATGGATTGTCCAAGCAACATTATAATACATGGATAAAAAGTCAAGTTGTCCATGTTTTTGTTCTCTTGGATTAACAATTAGCATCCATGGGAGTGGCCGTCAATAAATTAAATTACCCCAACCACAAGAGCAAAGTTCAATAGGGCATCAAACAACAAACACTGGCATGTTTGTGGCGAGATTAGAATTCTTACTCATTGCTGGTGGGTATAACTACTATGGAAGGTTGTATGACGCTTTCTCAGAAAGCTGGAAATAGAAATACCATTTGACCCAGCAATTCCACTACTGGGAACCAGAGCCGAAACTCAACAGATGTATGCACATTCATGTGTATTGCTGCGTTATTCACAGTAACAAAGAGATGGAAACAACCCAACAGCCCATCAACAAAAGAATGGATAGAAAAATTCTGGTACATTCACACAACGGAATATTAACACAACACTGAAAAATAATGAACTCAAAACATAGGGGAGCCTGGAGGACCGTTGCTAGTGAAATATCTCAATCACAAAAGGACAAATATTGTGTAACACCGCTATTATAAGTAGGACAGACATGAGGGGTGTTTGGGGAGAGAATGGGAAGAGTGGATAGATAATGAACTCTACATTAGAACAGATGAGGGGAATAACTGTCCAAAGGAATATAATGTTAGTCATTATATGAATTGCAACAATCTGGAAACACAAGTGCATTGCATGATGTGATGGAGGAAAGGGGAAGAAAATATGCAACAATGAATAAAAATAATAAATTTTTTTTATATTGCAGGGAGGGGGAAGAAAATGTGCAACATGGGAACATTGTAACATTTTTTATGTTTTTAAAAAATTAAGTCAGTGATCAGTAAAAAGAAAAAAGACATTAAATGGCATACTTGAATAGGCAGATCTACAGAAAGACCTCTCTGAAGTTTGATGGAGTAAGTTTAATGTGAAGGTACTGAGAAGGGTCTCCATGCTGGGCAGTTAGATTGCTCACACACATAGATACACCCTGAGGTGTCCCTGTTAGGACAGAATTTTCTAGAAACCCTCTCATTCATTGCTTGCTTCAGAAGATTGATGAGAGAAGGAGGAACTTGAGAGGTTGGGTCTACCTCTGCACGTTCTCCCACAAAGACCACCCGCCCTGCAGCTGCTTCTAGTGTGGGAGCTTGTGGTCACCTGCCTTTGACAAGGTTCCCAGGACTTGTTTGCAGATCTAAATTCTTGCTCACTTCAATTTCTATCTTAATGGACATGTATTTGGGTTTGTTGGGGGTTTTGTTTGTTTTTTAAGTAAAGAAGCTTTTACTCTGAGGCTATCGGCGCTTTTCTCTGACCCAGGCCAAAGAGAGAGGGAGGGACAGAAAGACAGGCTTGCAGGACAGGTCAGAGAAGTTCTCTCGTGGTGTGAAGAAGAAATGCTGTTGGGTTTTTTAAAGTGAAGCTCATGTAACATAGAATAAACTATTTTAAAGAAGGAGCATTTAGTACACTCAGTCTTGTGCATCTACCACCACTGTCTGAGTCGAGAACATTCTCACCCAGAAAAGCACCATGTACCCATTAAGCTCTGGAGCTGTGCTGCTAACCCAAAGGCCTCACCTCTCTCTGCAGTTTGGATCCTGCAGGGGTTCTGCAGGACAAAGCTGGTCACTCTCCTTATGCTTTCCAGTGTTGGAAACCTAATGGAGGGTCAGCTGAGTTGGTTCTACTCCATGGTGTTAAATGAGGAGTGAAGCTCAAACCATTAAGCTGTCACTCCCTAGTCCCCGATCTGCTCAGCTCCAGACAGCTATTAACCTGCTGACTGTATGGATTCACCTGTTTTGGACACATTATGTCATTGAGATCAAGTGACCTTTCATGTCTGGCTTCCTTAATGGAACAAAACATCTCCAAGGTCCACCCATGTTGTTGCATGTATCAGAATCTTACTTCTTTTTGGAGCTGAGTAATATTCCATTGCATGGGTGTCAGCCCTTTCATGCTCTAACTAACACCTGGACTGTGTCCATTTTTGGCTTTTGGGGACTAGTACTGCTATGAACGTTGATGTACATGCACGTTTCTTTGTAGGCATGTGTTTTTATGTCTTCTGGATATAGGACTGGAATCGCTGGGTAATATGGTATTTCTATGTTTAACTTTTTGAGGAACTGAAAATTGTCTCCTACAATGGCTATCCCGTTTTATATTCCTACCAGCAGTGAGGGATAGAGTGTTCCACTTCCTCACCACTACTTGTTATTTCCCCCTCTTTTTGATAAGAGCCGTCCTAGTAGGAGAGAAGTGTGAAACCCATTGTCATCGGGTCTCTTCCAACTCATTGTGACCGAAAGGCCAGGGTAGGATTTCCAAGGATGTGGATCATTGCAGAAGCAGGCTGCCCATCTCTCTCCTTTGTAATAAGTGGGTGATGGCTCTGAACTGCCAGCTTCTCAGTCAACAGCCGAGTGCCTAACCGCAGTCCCACTAAAGGTAGATACAAGCAGTGCATGTGTTAGATTTTTAATCCACTTAAAAGACCCTAACTTTCCTAAGGAGGGCGAACAGCCCTGGAATGCAGCAGCTAGTTCATGGTCAATGTATACCTGTGCTTACTCTCCTCAGGGCTGCTGGTCAACCTCTCACTCATCCCAGTCATGGGCGGGCTGGCCCTCTGCACCGCGACAGAGCTGAGCTTCAACGTCCTGGGCTTTTCTGCTGCTCTGTCCACCAACATCATGGACTGGTGAGTCATTGTTGTTATTAATGCTAAAGGAAAACAGCTAAGTTAGAATGCAGGTCGTCTACCTAAACAAAACTAGGGAACCAACAGCATTGGATCTAAGTGCCTCCATCCTGACATGTTTTAGGCATGTGAGTGATGGCAAGAACAAGAACAGTCCAGAATAGCCCACTAAATTTTGAATTTGTGCAGCAGCATCCCATGGGTCCTGACTCAAACAAGGAAACACACCTAAATGCAGGATGCCAGCCAGCTCTAGTCATCCAGGCCACGCGTGGCACTGGGCCTTTTCTCCGTCTTCTTTTCAGAGAAATGACCTGTCTTGCTCTCTTGGATGTGTATCGTTTCTAATAAAAAACTATATTTACTTTCACCTTAAAAAAAAGCAGGTCATCTTCAATTCTACCTTTAACATTTTGACATATCTGTTTATTTCCTTCTTTATGGATGCTGTCAAATCTATTTATATCTTGTGTCTCGTTTTATGAGTACTGCTGCAGGCTCTTTCAGGGTAGAAGCTTCTTAGTGGAGTCAACCACATGAGACTAAAGGACAGTGTTTGAGAAAAAGACACAACTCCAAAGGCAGGAAAGGTCAAATGCAAACAGGGACCGCAGAGAGGAAGTGGAAAGAGAGCTGTCTCATTGAGGAGATTGCAACCAAGGTGTCTAAACTGTTGAAAGAATAACTAATCTGCTCTATAAACTTTCACCCTAATAATAATAAAAAATATAAAACCTCAGCAATCCCACTATAAAACAAAGCAAAATAAATTTTAAAAATAAAGCAAAAGTTCATTGGTAATTAATTTTATAAAATACAATGAAAGCAATGATGGTATGAAACACATTGTGTATGAAGGATAGTGTGAAACATAATGTGTACGAATCCTGTATGCAAACCAACATAAAATAATTTTAAAAAAATAAAGCAGAAGAAAACAGTCGTAGACCACATGAACATGCACCACGGTTCAGTCATTCAGTTGTCTGGAGTTCCTATCCTTGGTGTTCATACATAATGCTGTGGGCATATCTTCTTACAAGAGTTTCCAACTGCCCTGCGGAGTGAATTCTAGAAGGAGAACTGTCAGCCAAGCCCACAAACTAAAGGGCTCCTGGCCCACACGGCTGGCTCACTTCCCATTGGTGAAGGTCTCTGATCTTACCCTGTCTTTAAAAACAATATCTTTTGAGAAATTCTCATTTTTGTTTCTGTCCTTCTCGTAACTGGTGAGGAAGATGCTATTTTGTTTTGTGCTCAGTGATTTCTGTCCTTCTCCCTTGGCTCATCTGTCCTGTTGATAAGTTGTGTCCATAGTTTTTTTCCTGGGGTCTTGAGACTTTCAACAGTCTCTGGGGACAACTACTCAAACTCTCTGGGCCTCGCTGGTACCAGTGAGGACTCCATTCAAAAGAGATATCTCAGTTTCCCACTGCAGCTTAACAAATACCACAAAGGGATAGATATTTTTCGCCCCAGTGATGTTTTATTGTTTTCAGTGAAGGCTTACGTAGCAGTTTAGGTTCCCTTTTAGCAATACCTGCACAGATTGTTTAGACCCTGGTTACATCCTTCACTATGCATGGACATTCTCATGCTTTCAATTCTGGTTGTTCTATTTCTAGTAGTCTAGTTTCCCTGCCTCTTACATTCTCTTGGTTGTTGTAAAGTCATTATTGACCATTTGGTTTCATAGAGGTGATTTGTTAAGGGAAGCAGTACTTACAGATGATAGCCATTATTTTTAAAGGTGACTTAAAAGAGTAGCAATTTACTGTCTCCCAGTTCTGAAGGCTAAAAGTCCAGTGCAGGGCTGTTCCTATGTGGGCCTCTCTCCTAGCTACTGGTGTCTAGAATGCTTGGCATTCTTGCGTTTGTACCTAGGTCCTCACCAGTCATCCTCTGCCCCTGTGTAGCTCTGGGCCTGTTCCATTCTTTTTATAACTCAGAAGGAATTAGGTTTAGGGTTCACCCTGCATTGGTATGATTTCATTGATAGAACAAAGAAAATCCCATTTACAAGCAGAGTCCCATCCACAGGTACAGGGGCCAGAACATGAGCGTATATTTGCAGGGGACACAGTTCAGTCCATAGCAGAAGCGCTAATGCACTGCTTGTCGCATGGAGAGAGGAGAGCTCTCCATGGAAGAGCCAGATGATCTCAGGCAGGTCACTCAACCATTGAGCATCTCAGTGTACTCATCTTTAGAATGGGATGGACATCAAGCCCACTTCATGGTGAGAGGCTACCTGGAAGTGTCCAGAGCATGCCTGTCCCCATGACAGTGTCACTGTTGTCAGTGTCAATAAGAAGACAAACACTGACTGATGTTTCATGATATATGTTGAAATATCACCTTCTCTTTTCTTTGTTCTAGTTTGCAAAATGTTTTCTCAAAAAAACTCCTCAGTGGGGACAAATACAGGTTCTCGTAAGTATCATTAATAAGTGAAATCTGTACAAAGCCCTGGGGGATGGCCTTCCTGTTTTAAGGTTCATGGTACCTCGAAGACATGACACTTTCCCAGGTTGGTTTAAACCAGTTGCTTCAAGTCAACGAGCTCAGGGCATGCAGTATGGGTGAGAGCAGAACTGGGCTAAATAAGGTCTTCTTTATTTTTCTTTTCTGTGTTTTGTTGTTGAGAATATATGTACAAAACCTATACCAGTTCAATAATTATACATGGAGATGTATAATTTCAGTTCAGTGACAGCTTGTCATAGGGTTTTCCCCCACAGCTGATCACCAGGCCTTTCTTCTGTGGCGACTTTGAGCAGTCTTGAACCTTCAACCTTTCGCTTAGCTACGAGTGCATTCACCATTTGCACCACATGGGAAATTCATCTTGGGTTGTTGTTGTGTACTGTTGAGTCAAAACTGACTCAGCTGACCCTCCAGCAGGTTTGTAAAGGCAGTTAATCACACGGGAGATTGCCAGTCCTTCTGCAAAGCGGCTGGTGGATTTGAACCGTATGCCTTTGAGATTGCAGTTCAGTTTCTTACCACTAGGCCACCAGAGCTCCCTGGTGGTCTTTAAAAGTACTTTGTCGAAACTTAAAAAAATAAATAGGTCTGTTTTCAGCTGCCCTTTTTGAGGTGCCTCCCTGCTCAGACTGGCTTTTATTTCTGGGCAGCCAAGTTGGTTCTCTCTGCCACGCACAGGCACTTCCTGAAATTCCCAGAGAAAAGAAAGACTAATGCACCTGTGTCCTGTAAGGAGCACTTTCTGTGCCGAGAGCTTCTGCATCGCCTAGTTTGAATGACCCGGTTAAGAGCCACTGTCTCTCAGATGGAGGCTGGGACTCAGGCGTCTTCTCTCACCCCTTCTGCAGGGCCCCGGAGCTGCAATTCTACACCAGTGCTGCCGCCGTGGTCATGCTCATCCCAGCCTGGATCTTCTTCATGGTGGGTTCTTGAAATGGGACCTTCCTTGGCCGGGGGGCTGCTGGCCACCCCTGTCATTCCGGAGCTAGGTGATTCAGCTTCACATTCTGTGGGTAACTGGCTGCTGTGTTGTTCTTGTTACCTGCCGTTGACCTCCTGCACAGCAGGTGTGCACTATTCCCATGACCAGCTGGGGACCACACGGCTGGAACTCGTGGGGTTTTCATCGGCTCATTTGGGGAGATAGATTGTCAAGCCTTTCTTTCTACTTCCTTAGCCTGTTCAGCGTCCTAGCAGCATTCAGGTCTCCCCTGGCAGACAGCCAGTGGCTGCATATGAGGTGTACTGGCCAGGAAGCGAACCCTGGTCTCTTTTGAAGGTGGCTAGAATTCCACCACTGAGACACTCTCGTCCCTGATTAGTACATGAGCTCTGCTGAGTTGTTTGTAAAGAGACAGTGATGCCCCAGTAGAAAGAAGAGAAAGCAGTAGGCACCGCCTTGCTTGCACCCCTGCTCTTTTGCACATGCTCACATCTGGCAGTGGGAGGCTTCTGAACACTTTTTATTTTTTTTTAAATTTTTGTGTGTATGTACCATCAAATGAACACCTTTTTTTTAAAAAAAAAAAAAGTCTTTTAGATTTAAAAAAATATGGAACGCTTCACAAATTTGCATGTCATCCTTGCTCGGGACCATGCTAATCTTCTCTGTATCGTTCCAGTTTTAGTGTATCTGCTGCCATATCGAGCATTGTTTAATATTTTTTTGAATCGTAAGAAGTCACATGTACCCACTGTAGAGAAGGCCAAGGTGCAGAGTATATAAAATAAAATTATCTTGACTCCCAGCTCCTTCTCATTAAACTCTGAGGAGCACCCTCTTTTGGTGATTTGATTATTTTCTTGTAGACATTGTGTTGTACATAGGGACCTCTCTAAAGTACTCAAGCGAAATGGTGTCTCTCTGGAGACTAAGGTCCGCCTGATACAGGCCATGGTCTTTGCAATCAATCACTTGTTATGCATCAGAGAGTTGGACAATGACTAGGGAGAACAGAAAGAGAATTGATGCCTTTGAGCTCTAGTGCTGGAGAAGAGTATTGAGTGTACCATGGACTGCCAAGAAAACAAACAGATTCATCCTAGAGAGGGTTAAACCAGGCTACTCCTTGGAGGCAAGGATTCTGGGAGTTCGTCTGACATACTTTGGACATGTAAGGAGAGACAGGTACTTGGAGAGGGACATCATGCTTGATAGAGTAGAAGAACAGCGCAGGAGGGGAAGACCCTCTATGAGGTGGATTGATTCAGTGACTGGGGTAATCGGGATGGGTGTGTCAGAGGCAATGCAATTGGCACAGGATAGAGCAGGGTTTAAGGCTGTTGTACATAGGGGTCGCTATGAGTCACAAACGACTCGATGGCACATAACAACAACAACAGACATTGTGTGGATATAAACATACACGCGGGCATGTAAGTCGTGTGAGTTTTTCAAGTGTTATTGTTGTTATGTGCTGTTGAGTTGGAACCAACACACAGCTGACCCTGTAGCAGATTTTCAGTCAGAAAGTCACACGGGAGGAAATTACCCATCTGTCTCCCACAGAGCAGCTGGTGAAGTCAAACCATTTGCCTTTGGGTTAGGAATGCAACTCCGTACCAGTAAGCCACCAGAGCTCTGTTGATAGGATGGTGCTTGCATAATCTGTGTAGGCTTACACATATAAGGGAAGCCTATTTGAGAACTTGACCTTGCCCATGCCAAAACTGAAGGCAGCTCCTTGCTCTAGAATACAGCCTCACTTCAACTCCTCTCCTTTCTTCCCTCCTGATGGAGACTCCTCGATGCCACAAGCACACGAAAAGGAACTCCTGTGTCCACTTGCACAGAAGAGTGTTTCTCTGGCATAGAGGATAACAGTCAGCATGGTCGATGGAGAATATCTCTGCTGTGTCTCATAAGTTTGATGCATACAGCTGAATTGCTGCCTTAGTTTCATAGGAATGGCTTAAAAAGTATACAGATGCTTAAAACAGCAGAAATTTAGGGGAGCTCTGGTGGCCTAGTGGTAAGGAGCTGCAACTACAATCCCAGAGGCGCATGGTTCAAATCCACCAGATGCTCTGCCGGAGAAGGAGGGACAATCTCCTCCTGTACCAGTCAGATCTGATTTGACGGTACACACACAAAATAATAAAATAAAATAAAAAATTAAAAAAACCAGCAGAAATTTATCCTCTCAGAAGCTAAATTAGATTAGAAGTTGGAAATTGGAGATTAGAAATTAAAAGTCAAGATATATTCAGGGCCACACTCTGAAGGCTCCAGGGGAGCATCTTTCCTTTCTCCTCCAGGTTCTGGAAGCTCCTCAGTGTACCTTCAGTTGTGGCAGCTTATCTCCAGTCTCTGCCTCCCCAGTCACCTGGCCTCCTGGTCACCTGGCCTCCACAGTTATGGTCTTCCCTGTCTGTCTCCAAATCTCCTTCTTGTCATAAAGACACCATTCACTGGATTTAAGGCCTACTAGTATGAGCTCATTTTTACTTGATTACATCTGCAAAGACCCAGTTTCCAAACAGGTTGTGTTCATAGTCCCTGGGATTAGGATTCCATGGATCTTTTAGAGAACACAATTCAGCCCATACCTAAAAGGCCATTTCAGAACCCTCATCAATGATAATTTGCAAACCCAGGCACAAGTGACATGTCAGTGGGGGAGGCCTCTTCTACGTGTACAGTGGGTAAGTGGGACTTGTGCCCAGTGGTGTGTCCTCTTTGTACGGCTCCAGGACATGCCAGTGATCGGGAGGAGTGGGAAGAGCTTCCGGTACAATCAGGACGTGGTGCTGCTGCTGTTGATGGACGGCGTACTGTTCCACCTGCAGAGTGTCACGGCCTATGCCCTGATGGGGAAGATCTCCCCAGTGACCTTCAGGTGAGTGAGACCCTTCCGGAGGCTCGGGGCTCAGGGCTCGGGCGGTTTGCTGCTTGGCATATCAGCTCATTGTCATCAAGTCATCACTCACGCATAGCTGACCCTCCAGTGGGTCTTTAGAGGCTGCAGATTTCCCAGGAGGAAACTGCCCACCATTCTCCCAAAGAGCCACTGGTGCATTCACACCACCAAAGAGGCTCGACCTTTGGGCTAGCAGTGCAATGCTCTATGGACTATGCCACCATCACACACGCATTTCTATAAATGAGCAAAATAATACAAGTAGGCTTACTTACTCACTCATTGCCATCAAGTCAGACTGACTCATAGCTGATCCTCCACTGAGTTGACGAGGCTGTAAATTGCACAGAAAGAAAGTGCCCATCTTTCTCCCCAGGAGCCCGGCTTTTCAATTCTATTTCATTTTGATCCTTTTACATGGCCACATGGCCTGGCCGGTGCCATCCTGTGAGGGCAGCACAGCTCTGGAGACAGAGAGGTCTTAGAAAGGCCCTGGAGTTTTCTTCCCCTCACAACCTGATGCAGACACTGAGAAGACAGAGGAGTCACAAACTTCAGGGAATAATCATGAATCGCCAATAAAGCATAAGAGTCCATTCTTGGTTTTTAAAAATTGTGGTCTGACAAAACACTTGGCAATCTAGCAATGGAATTCTTTTTAAAAAATCACTTTTTTGTCTTACTTATAACCAGTACCAATTATTGTTGTTATTGTGGTTGTCAGTTCTGACTGATGGGACCCATATGTGTTAAGGTAAGACTATGCTCTATGGAGTGTCTTTCCAGTGGACAGTTGTTCAGCAGTAGATTGCCAGGCATTTCTTCTGAGGCACCTTAGGGTGAATTAAAATCTCTAACTTTGTGGTCAAGGATAACGGATAATTTGATGGATAATGGGTGAGGAATTGCACTACCAATCCAAAGGCAAGCAGTTCAGATCTTCCAGCAGCTCCACAGGAGAAAGGTGGGCAGTCTCCTTTGCTATTTATGGCCTCTGAAAACCCACTGGAGGATCAGCCAGCAGTTGATTCGAACACAATAGCACAAAACAACAAGATCCACCTTCTGTGTCAACAGCTGAGTACATTAACCCTTTTCACTCTATGCCCAAGGACATATCTATAAATACGTGTGCTTGGTCCCACTGGGCTCAAAGTAAATGTAGAGATTTATGTAAATATTTTTCCTTAAGTTTCTGCTTGTTAGACATTTTTCACAATAGAAAGTACTCCCTCAGAAAAGGAGGTTGTGAGCCTTCCATAAAGCTCCAGGACCCTGCAGGAGCACTCAGCTCACAAACTGCTCTGTCACCTCCTGGGACCACTGGAGCCCTGCAGGGCAGTGCTGCCATTTCCTTGGCCAGGACTGGGCCCGGGTGCCCAATGGGGCCTGAGTGAGCCCCTCTGACTCCCCATCTGTCATTGCAGCGTCGCCAGCACTGTGAAGCACGCCCTGTCCATTTGGCTCAGTATTATCATTTTTGGGAACAAGATCACCAGCCTGTCGGCCATCGGCACAGTCCTGGTGACAATCGGCGTCCTGCTGTACAACAAAGCCAAGCAGCACCAGCAGGAGGCCATGCGGAGTCTGGCGGCGGTTCCCAGCCGAGTCCCAGAAGAGGACGCGGAGCCACTGCTGCCCTCGGACCCCCGGCCGCACCACTGAGCCCAGGAACCTCTGTACTGCCCAGTGCCCAAGTGTCAGCACCTCCTCTCCTTTCCAAAGCTAGACCCCTGATACTGGACCCCCGCTGGTCACTCCTGTTCCCTGGCATCAGGGGCAAGGACTTACCCCCCTGGTCCCTCTCAGAGTGCTGGTGACTAGGGAGTGGGCAGGTGAGCACTGCCTTCTCCTGGTCTGGTCTTCAGTCAGGATCCCTCAGCATGTGAGCTTCCTGGGTGCACCAAGGGCCCTACCTCTCTGTGCCCTTGCCAAGTAATGTGAAACGGCCTCTGCCAGAGTGTCATGTAGATGTCAGAGTCCCCTGGCTCACATCCAGCTTTTATGAGGCCATCTCAGATCCCTCCTCTGTGGACATCCAGTGTGGGCACCTGTGAAGCCAGACTGAGTCCAAGTGCCAACATAAGCTACACACCCAGTGCCAGCAGAAGACTGCACTGCTTGTCCCAGCTGTCAGTCAGGGCCTGACCCTCACCATCCAAGGACACTGGACTTGGACAACCTTTGCATGTGCTGTTCCAGGTGTGGAGTCTTGTCAGGGGGTAGAGGGTGGCAGCTGGGGCCAGGGCAATAAGTGCCCCACAGCTGAAGGTGGCATGGTACCTGTCTCCACTCGCTCCTATCCTCAATGCGGAATGGGGCCAGGGCACCCTCGCCCTGATCCAGTTATGGTCTCGTCCCTTTTTCCGTCAGAGCTGCAGTCTCTAAGAAGTCAGTAATTCCTGGGGACTGGTAAAAGTCACTTCACAGAAGTTAAGAAGGGAAAGACCCACCTCCTTCCTCCAGGTGCCAACTTGTCCTGTCCTAACCTGCTCTTTTTCTGACCATCCTCCCCCTCACCTGTGGATGGTGGATTCTAGGCTAGAGATTCCTTGACCCAAGGATTGAGAAGGAGCATCTTCAGTGTTCAGTCAGGTGGGAGATGGTGACCCTGCCCCCCGGTTCTCTCGGGCTGAGTGCCACACTCTGCGGGGAGTCATTGGTAGGTGCACACCTCTAGGTTCATTCTTTCATCCATGGGCTGTATGAAGAAGCCTCCGAGGGAAGCTGATGAGCAGGAGAACTTTAGGCAGGGTGTTTTGAGTGTGGACTTTTCCCAGAGCTGTGTTTAAAATAATGGTGTGGTTTCTGGAACTTGAGGTACTTGTTTGGTAAAAGGACTAAACCAGGCTGGCTCTTTGATGAGGTCATAACACACCTGGGCTCTAGGTAGGCTGAACAGTCTGTGGCCACCACTATCCCCTGCCCAGGTGCTTATGGAGCCTGAGTGGTGAGTGTGGGGGGAACCACCCCAGGTGTCTGGCAAGCAGACTTTGCTAAGGAGCTTCCCTTTACTTTCCCATCTTACATCCTGGCAGGATTTCTGATCAGGGCATGGCCCATCACCAGCCAGTCTCTGAGACCCTCTAGCTTGTCAGCTGTAGCAGTGCCCAGGAGGTGGCCTTGGTGAGCCCGGCAGAGGGCAGGTACCTGTTAGGAGGGGATGGGCGTTCTCTGCTGCTTCCCCTCCACTATTCCGTCTCGGGCTCCCACAATTGTTCCTCCGATTTCCACTTGGCTTCTCACCTGGAAAATGCAAAGCCGGAAAAGAGCCCTTCCCAGAGATCTGATCTCTCAGGAACAAAGAGCAATAATTCCGTCTCATTGAGTTCCATCCGCCTGGAAAGCTCGTCTGAGCGAGCAGAGCCGGGCCCCGCGCCTGCGCAGCAGCGTGAGCCGGTGAGCCGTCCTTTCTGCACAGCTGTGCCTGGGCGCCAATCTGCCCGCGCTGGCGCCGTCACCCAGGGAGCCCCGGCCGTGGGAACGTGTTCTCATTCTCTTCATTGTTGTTCTGCTTTTCTCGAAAACAAAATCAGGAGTGATCAGGTGGCAAGGCGGACTGGCCAGAAGATCCTCCTGCCTCCCCAACCGGGACCCTGGGCGCCGAGTCCCTTGAGGACATGCCTGCCTAGCCAGCGCCGTTACTGCTGGGATGTGCAGAGATGGGAGAGGCATCAGCCGCGCTCCTGTAGCGGGATTTTTGAGACCATCTTTCTCAAAAACTTGAGTTACCTGAGAATGACCACATGCCAAGCCCCTGGTTTCTGAGTGTGTGCAAGATTCTGAGTCCTGTGACCCTTTGGGAATCTGTTGTCTACCAATCACCACAGTTTCCCCTGCAGGTTGGCAGCTTAAACATTCACCCCCAGCGATGCCTGATGATCAGCTTCCATAAAGATAACTGTCAAGAAAACTCTTAACGGGCTCAGTTCGGCTTCGGAACACATGGGGTCACCCCGAGTCAGAATCAACAGCACTATGTTTGGATCTTGATTTTTGGTCTCTCTAATCCCCACCAGCAGCTTTCAACCTGTTTCAATTTTGTAAATATGTGGGCCAGAAAACAAGAATGTTCCTTGTAAATGGTTAGCAATGAGGCAACCAGCTGAAAAGCTTTTGAGCCATTTTCTTCTGAATGGAAAGAGTTCTGAATGGTTGAGTTTGTGCTGGGCCAGCACACTCCCTCATTCCAGCAACATTCGGTCCTCAACCCTGTGTCCCCGAAGGCCCCAGAGTTGATCTCCAGTGTCCACTTCTCCAGACGTTTCCAGAACAGCCCTCCGCCTTGTGCTGGGGGCTAGAAGCCTGAAGCATGTTGGGACCATTTGTTTAATGATGGTACAGAGACAAGTGCATTTTTTAAAAATTTACTTCGTCTAGTAACTTTTATAGAATAGAAAATTGTCCTTGTTGGACTGTTGGCAGATGTGCTGTCTAAACACTGACATGACTCCCCTTGGACCCGTGGTTATTGGCTGTGCCTTTGTAAAGCAACAAAACACTTGAACCAAACACTTGAACAAAGCCTTCTGCGTCGGAATCGTACTCAACATCTGCTGATTGACATCAATACTTAAAGATGTACAAATTTCTAACATTCAGGACATTCATTTCCACAATGGATGGCAGGATGGCATTATAAGCTCTCTTTTGAAATGCCAATCACTGTAATTTCGTGCAATCAGCATTAAGATAACCCATGTGGAAAGCTGAGAATATTCTTGCACCATCAAAATTGGATCTGTATTTTGAGAAAAAGAAATATGGTGACTCAGAAGTCCTTGTAAAGTCCAAAATACTGTCTGCAAGGAATAGCAGTTGACATTGAAAATATTTTTCCCCAAACCAGTAAGTTTTGCTTCTGGGAGCGACACTTGTTAGTTGCTCATTTAGACTGGTCAGCAATGAGGGTGGGGTTGGGGGGTGGGGAGAAACAAACTTTTTCAATTTGTCCACATGATATGCTTTCAAGGCCTGAAAGTATTTTCGTTGTTTTCCTGGGTTGGAAAAAATGAACAAGTATGTGATTAGGTGTAGACATTATCTCCTCTTCCTTTTGCCTTTGACCAACATTACAATAAGGGCTTTATTCTTTCCAAAAATGCTCCCTAGCTTTGGCATGGGTCTCTCAATCTAGAAATAAGAATGTCCAGGAGGAGTCTGGTCATTTCTCTCTTGTCCTGGAGGAAGAGGCAGCCTCAGAGGGCCAAGATGACTGTGGATCTGTTGTGCAGCTGAGTTCAGTGAAACCCTCGGCTGTGCCGTCTCTGATGTGTCTCCTGGGGTTTCTTGTTCTCAGTCCAGTGTCTCTAGGTCCTTGCCCTGACACCCAGACCCGGTTGGATAGCGTTGTAATGGACAAAATCTTGTTCTTTGGTTTGTTTGCTGTATCTTGGACTTTGCTTTGAGGGTAAGTCTCTCAACTCAGAAGACCTGTGAGCTGAGATGTCGTGAACCTGCTTGCAAGTCCTCTGATCAAAGGGGAATGAGCTAGAGGCTGATCGTTTCCCCACCTTGATAACCTTGAAATCACTGATTGTCTACATCACAGCCAAATTCTATTGGCTTCACACCAAACCAAGCTGTGGAGAACTAAAAGTATATCTTGCAAAATGTTTATTTAGTGTTTCCCTATTCGCCTATTTCAGTGTTTATGTAACTAGCGGAATGCTTTCCAGGAAATGGTTCTATTCAGTAATTTAGCAAGGCATTGTTAATTCTGTTGTGGTAATACATGGATATTGCATCATTAATCCTGTGGATACCTTTGGCTATTTTTATCTAAATAAGCTGCCATGGTAAAGTCTGTGACTCTTGTGCTGGAAAAGTGAAATAAATGTGAAATATGTACCTCTGTCTTTGGAATTCTTTACTGGGAAGCTATCATGTGTTTGTGCTACTGAAATGACCAAAGTTAGCGTCTTTTTGCCTTTAACAAGTTTCCAGCATGAATGAAGGAAAATGAGCAGCTTCCCAAGTCACTAAAAATTTAGGAAGCAAAGTAAGAGCCTGACTATACAAAGGAAACATTTTATTGTGGGATACAAACCAATTCCAATGCAGATCAAATCCACTGCAGCTACCGTGAGTCCTTATTTCCCCCAAGACAATCCTGTCCTTGCCCGCATTTTCTATTTCAGACCCAATGAGGTGAATGAATGTTCATCCTTTGGAGCTTCCTCCGCTCAGATTTCAAGATTGTTTGTTTTCTGTGATTATTTAAAGCATAAAAGCTTTACAGCATAATTTGATATATTGAAAAGGGTTTTTTTTTATCACTGTGTTAATTTCAGAAAGGTTATGAAAACAGCATAGTCCTAGGGAAACCAGGACATGTTCCTCTAAACAAAAGCAAGCATGGGGTTTATATCAATTAAAAAAAAATTTTTTTTTGCTTACCATCAGGTTATGCAGAAGAGCAAAATATACAAAGCTTATCTTTTTTTTTTTTCTTTTTCGCGAAGCATATTTTAATTACTCCAAAAGGTCTGTTTAATGTCTGAGTAAAACATCTAAGGAGTACACATTCCACTCCTAGTGGCCTTTTGGGAACAGACTAGAATTACCCAGTGTTGTTGTTAGGCGCTGTCAAGTCCAGAATTAATCACAGCAGAACAACAGATCTGAACCCTGCACTATCCTGTGCCATCCTCATCATCTCAGAC